TTCGTCGCTGAACAAAATTTTTCGATAAAAATGTGGATCTTCCTCCAACTTTGCCAGCGCCCATTCACCAAATTGGAAACGTTGTGGGAGGTCGTGTGGCTTCAATTCTTGCACCAGCTGTATCTTATAAGGTTTTACACCCAAATCCTGTCGCAAAATTTCCCACGTAGTGGAGTAACAGAGGCCCAATTGCTACGAATCGACATTTCACGGTCATCCCTAACACTGGCGGATACAGCCGCAATATTTTCTTCAGTCCTCACTCTACGTCTGCGTGTTGGTGGTTTAATGTCCAATGATGTAACCTGGGTTCGAAATTTAGTCACAAGCTTCCGAATAGCTCCCTCAGTAGGCCGACCAAATTGCCCATAAATTGGAAGCAGTGCTCGATGCACTCTCTTAACCGAGCATGAATTTTGATAGTAAAATTCAATTATTTGCAAGCGTTGTTCGTTCGTAAGTCGATTCATGGTTAAAATAGACCAAACTGAACAAGTTTGACAATGACACAAGACACGATTCACGCGTCATCTGCCAAAAACAGTGTTGCCAAAAAGATACTAGCAAAAAAATCACCCATTATTAGTAAAATAACCACATGTATGTCGCATACAGCTGTGTATAATTGTATTTAGGTGTAAGATGGCTTACATCGCTTACGACTAGGTAGCTCACTGTTCATTCTAAAATTATCAAAGTAGCTCAACACACTGAAAAGGTTGGCGACCACTGTTCTAGATTACCATCTATTCAAACTGAGGAGGTAAAAAAATATTTTTAAATACTATTAGATACAAATTTAAGTTTTGACTGTTATATTATGAGTAAACCCAAATTGTGCTATTATAAAAATAAAAGTGTTATTAAATTAATACCTATAAACTCATAGATCCTTGCACATTTGGATTATGGTGTCACAGTCTGTTATAACTTCCTTACAGAGGTAATAAAATAAAAAATTCACATTTTACAGAATCGTTGCATTGATTTTGTTATAATGATATAGTTGTACAAGAACACATCATTGCTTGTTATGCGAACGAAGATATTTTAAAATATAAGTACCGTTCATTCCTTTTATATATTATACATATATAAGGCTTTAGAATTTAAGTCTCCAAACTAGTTTTAACTTATTTCTCTTTGTAATTGCTGTCGGTGACGGTAAAAAATAGCGATGTCAATTCTCAGCTTTTTGGAGTGTTGATTTTTATATTCGTCTTTATTTTGTAATAACTGTTCCAATAAAAATCACTATAAAAAGAAAAAGAAAGGTAAAATAAGCAACTTGAGCTCCTGTCACACCAAGCTTCTGTTCCATTAACAACTAGCCACTCCTCACACCGTGAGGTAAGCAACTACAGTATATTCAGATAAGAGATAGACCGGATGTAAACAAAAGGTTCGTGTGATTTTCACGCTAACGCCGCCGTCTCGACGTAAAACAGGAGCCCTCATTGGTCAATTCGCAATTAAATGCCTATGCCAAGCGGCAGAGCAGTCGTATCCAGGCAGAGTCACATTCAGGTTCAGACGTGTTACGTATGTCGTGTGCATCATTGCAATTTGATATTTCTTTGGACGTTTTCGTTTGTTATCTTATTAAGTTGTTGAGTTTGTCGTTGTTATTGTTATACCTTGTTATTGATTGTTATTGTTATCAACTGCTTGCGCAAAATGCCCAGTAGTACAGATACTGCCGATGAAGTTGTAAACTCCTGTAGTCCACCTAGGAAACGCTCTAAAAAAAGACACCTGAGTGCAGAAATGAAAGAGGTCATTTTGAATATATATAAGATCGAGCGCGAGGAGAACGAGGCATCAACCATCAAAGAAATTGTTGTGAAGGTTTCTCACAAAGTTGGGGTGTGTCGCGCATCAGTGTTTAATGTGTTAAGACAATACAAAAAAAATCACACCTTTTCTGAGCCAATGACCAGTAAACATCGCAAAAGTATTGTTAAATCATTGGATGAAGCTGATAAGCATGCGATTAGGAGGAAAGTGCATGAATTCTTCTTTAGGAATGAAATACCTGCTATAAATAAAGTACTGCAGGAGGTAAATGGAGATACAACGTTGCCAAATTTCAAACGATCAACTTTCCAAGCGTTACTGCAGCATTTAAATTTCAAATGGAAAAAACGGGGTCGTAATAGTTTACTACTGGATAGAGAAGAAATTGTGCTATGGAGAAGGGATTATTTAACAAAAATTGGGAAATATAGAAATCAAAACAGGAAGATTTATTACCTTGATGAAACGTGGGTAAACGCAGGACACACTACAAGTAAAGTATGGGTTGATGATTCTGTAACTTCATCCAGGAGGGCCTTTCTAGATGGACTGTCCACCGGATTAAAAAATCCAGCAGGTAAATACGAGTAATAGACAACAATCGGATGTTTTTCAAACCTTGGGAACAAGGTTCTAAACATTAATTCCAGGGCGCAGATAAAACATATTACAAGTAACAAAACCTTTATAACTTTCGATAAAATGCGTGGATGTTTTATTGTCATTTTCATTTGTTAGAACTTTTTTAAGCCATGTTTTTATGTGTTTTCGATATTTCAATAATTTTTTAATATAATTTTAAAATATGTCGAATATTATAAACTTAAAAAAAGTTACTAAGTTTTATATTGTGTACCGTTCCTAATATTTCTAATCATTTTAATTCATACTTTAAGCTTTATAAAGTTATAATTTGTTAATATTAATATTTGCGCGTATTTCAGGTTCCTGATCATTCATTTTTTAAAGGTTTATATCTTTAAATTAAATTGTGAAGCGCTGAGTAATCATACGACGTTCAATATTCTTTCTTTCAATATGACTAAATAATCCCAATTATAGCAATCTGATACTCATGTCTCAATGTTTTTTCGCTGAATGTGATGAAAACATTTGAAAAAGGTTCGCTTATTGAAATAAATCTACACCAGTTAGTACTTCGATTTCCAGGTAAAGGGAAAAGGCTCATTATCTGCCATATTGGCAGTGAAGATGGATTTGTTGTTGACGGTCTGTGGTGCTTTGAGTCTAAGAAAACTGGAGATTACCACGAGGAAATGAATGGCGAATCGTTTGAACAGTGGTTTTCAAAAATTTTACCGAACTTAGAGGAAAACGCAGTAATTGTGTTGGATAATGCGCCTTATCATTCTCGAAGAATGGAGAAGGTCCCAACAACGGCTTCAAGGAAAGTTGATGTTCAAAATTGGCTCCGCTCGAAAAATATCAACTTTGAAGAAGGAATGCTGAAAGTACAATTATTAAGAATTGTCAAGGATCACAAGGCGGAATATCAAAAATACGCCATTGACGAAATGGCAGCAAGTCAAAATAAAACTGTGCTCCGTTTACCTCCATACCATTGCGAGCTCAATCCCATTGAGCTCATATGGGCAGAGGTTAAAAATTATATAGCTAAGCACAATACAACTTTTAAATTTTGTGACCTCAAAGCACTTTTCAAAGAAGCACTAGAATTAATAACAGCGCAAAAATGGGAAAACTGTATTAAGCACGTGAAAGACAAAGTTGAAAAGAGAATGCGGGAACTGGACAATATTTTAGAGGAACAAGTCGAGCCATTCATTATTGACGTTGGTGCTTCAGGCAGTAGCGATGATGAAAGCTCATCAAGCTCATCTTTCCAATAAAAGATGTCGTTCATCAAATTCGGTAAGTTATAAGTAATTATAAAGCTACTGTATTTTTTAATTAATTATTGACATTTTTGAACCCATTTTGGCAAAACCTATTCAAGAATCTACTTTCTGACAATGTTCAACCATGCACATTTTTTTACGTTCTGAACGTTTTAATTTGGTTACATATTTACCTAGAAATCAAAAAATATACTAATCAATATTCTAAAAGCAATTTTAAGAGATATACGATTATTTTTAATTTAGGCTAATTTAAACGCCATTTTGAGATTATATTCGACTGTATTTCACCAAACATCAGGCGGCATCCGAAGCTGGAAATCGAAGCGAAAATTTTGAAACCCTTATGTATATTTACATCATTATATATTTCTTACCCCACCCCCACATGATCCTATATCCATCACCAATCATATACACATCGAATTGTGCTAATTTACTACAAAGTTACGCAAAGCAGCATCTACTATCTAAAATATGTACTGCGTGACCCTTAGTACGTCCCTGCCGAATGTTACAGCGTTCGATGATCACGTGGTCTTGTTTATGTCCGGTCTATCTCTTATCTGAATATTCTTTAGTTGGTCCACAAACCGTGTGCCTTGAGTAGATGGAGGATTCCGAGGATCCCACGCATAGGCATGTCTCTATGAAGCCTTAATAAGTAATTTGCTTCTGCAGTTTTTATGTTGCTCTCCAGTTGAGCAGGAACCAGCTATGTAATGGACTGCTGGCATGTCCGCTTAAAATCGAGTATGGAACTGAGTTCCTTGGCTGCTCTGTTCGGTGCTCTAAAAAGAAAAGATGCCTTACTGTTGGCATGTCCGCTTAAAATCGAGTATGAGACTGAGTTCCTCGGCTGCTCTGTTCCGTGCTCTAAAAAGAAAAGCTGCCTTACTTCTGGCATTCCCGCCTAAAATCGAGTATGAGACTGAGTTGCTCGGCTGCTCTTTCCGCTGCTCTAAAAAGAAAAGCTCCTTTACCCGCGCCTTCATGCTTACGCACAAAGCAGATGAGGGGATCGGTACTCCTCACAGCTTACAGGCAGTGCTCAGTACCACCCTGTCATGGAGACGCTCCAAGCTCAACAGTCAACGCCCTCCCACGCTCCCTGTGCATTTATATTATTATTAACCATTCCATATCAAATGTGTATTATGTTGATGTTACACTATCCATTATATTCTTATAATGAACTATATACGGTTCAACATCAACATAGGAAAGATTGCGTACCTACTATCTAACCAAGTACTTTTCCACATGAACTACGCGTGAGACAAATATTATGATGTTGGGATCGGATTAATTCTCTCTCAATATCAATATCAAACGGAATTAGTACATTAAACATTATCGACGCCTAAAATATACATTGTAAAAGAGAAAAATGTTCTTCTACAACGGATATAAAGTGATGGAAGCGAGACTTCCAAGTAGAGGAAGGACTAGAGTTGGGGAGGGGAGTACTGAGTGGAATAATAGCATGGAGATGAGTGAGAGGTCATGGCTACTTGAACGTTACGAGGGGAGTAAGAAGAAAATCGAGGATACAGATGAACCTTTTGGTAAGTGATTTTCATACCTTAAGTTATAGTCAACGCCAAACAAAGTGGCGTGCACGTCATCAAGGTGGGTGTGTTGAAAAATTTACATTGTTGCCAAACTTTTTGTAAAATAATAAAATTTATTATTTACATATCTAGGTTTATAAGCAATATTAACCTCAAATGAGAACAAAAATAATAGTATAATAAAATTATAGATCTGTACTTGCATAATCATTAAGTATGACAATTATTGATCAGATGACACTATGAAACTACCATATTTAATTGATAGCTTAAAGGTACTGAATAAAAATCCAAATGGGGTCCTCCAAATTTTATGCATGGTATTTATTTTACAGAATTCATACAGAAAAATGCATTCTAAAATTAGGTAAGCTACTGGTGTAAGCTTTTTCTGTACAATAAAGTTAGTCGGAGTTTCTTTCTTCAGCGCTGTCTGAATCTGAATCTTCATCACTCTCAAAGTTGATTATTAAAGGTTCGATGTCTGGTCGATCAAAAATTCGTTCTCTTTCATACCATTTAAAAATTTCTTGCTCAGTATGTCGAACACTATTTTTCCACATGTCTGGGGTAACCGTTTGTAGAGCCTCGTTCCACATATCCAAACAGTCTTTTTCACTGTTACCATCTCTACCAATATGTCTGTTATAGTAACCTTTTGCTATGCCCCAAATTAACTCAATAGGGTTAAATATACAATGGTAAGGAGGCAGACGAAGAACTTTGTGCCCATGTTGTTCCGCCAATTCATCAATCACGTATATTTTAGGTGGTTTGTTTCTAAAAAAGCAGTTATTTTAAGAATAGGAATAAACAAAAGAAATATAAACTGTCGACCAAAATATATATAATTAAGAAGCATTATGTACCGAGCAACAATACTCAATAGCTCTGTTTTAAACATTGTGTTTAAAAATGGTATGTTTTGATTTGTCAACCAGTCTTGGATATTTTTTTTTGTCCATGCATTGTTGGGCACTTTGTTCAATATCATGCTGTGATAAGGGGCGTTATCCAGTATAATCATAGATGGACTCTCCAATTTTTCTAATAACTGATGTTGAAACCATTTCAAAAAATTGTCCTGGTTCATCTCTCCATGGTAATCGCTCAATTTTGTTTTCGAAGAAAATATCGCTTCACTACCCTCAATAAACCCATTTTCATTTCCAGCATGTAATATAATGTATCTAAAATATATTAGTTTTAAATTTTATAGTGCAAATTGTGTAAAAGTACATACCTTTTACCATCTGTTTTAATAGCTTTCACGCTTTTTTGGTTTCCATTTTGCCAAGAGCGACCTATGGTCCCATTTTGAAATATCCAAGTTTCATCGAGGAAGACAAACTGGTATAAGGCCTCAACCTTGGCTTGATTGTATTGCCTTAAAAATTCCACCCTTTTCAAAGCTATACTTGGTAGTTCCATGAGCCCTCGTCGCGGATTGTCTTTAAGCCACTTAAATCCAAGATCTCTAAGCAACCGCCTTAAAGACGTGGCACTACCATCAAATAATGCCCTATCTCTTAATCGAGACCATAAAGTTTGTATCGTAACTTGTTCTTCTGAAACCATGTGTAATATGACATTATAATTTAGTTAACAAATTAATGCAAATTTCTGATAAGTTATTATAATAAGATCTTACTTTTGTGATACATATTATAGATCACTTCTCGAATGACACTTGTATCCAATGTCGCTGTGTTGGTTACACGTTTAATATAACTCCGCTTTTTCTTGGGCGATTCTAGATTTTCATCACTTTTCACACCCTCGGAAATACGACTAACTGTCCTTAAACTAATTTTTAAAGCAGCAGCAACACGCTACAAAAAATGAAATAAAATTTCACTATTATTAATATACATTACATATAATATAATTATTAGTAACCTACCTCTTGAACAGCATTTAAAGGCAACAAAGGCCCGTTGTTGTCCCTTTCTTGCTCAAAGTAGTGCATTAACGAGGCCACGAGTTCCTTACACCGACTATTTAACTGTTTGGGCATCTTTATATACCAAAATTGCCTTTATCTACTCGTAAAATGAATAATTTTGTTTTGAAACAAACAGTTGTTGATTTACAGTATGCGGGGCCAAAGGATTTATAAAGATTTGAAATGCCACAAATTGATTCAGTGTCAAAATTAATACAAATGTCAGTTCCCAGTTTAAATAAGTTTCAAGGTGACAATGTGTCAACGCTGCGAAATCGGTTTAGTGCGTTTACATGTCGATAAGTGATTGGAGCGTTTGCAAAACATTTTATTTCGCATAATGCGTCTAAATTTATCAGAAAGCAACTTATGTGATATTTTAATAACAATGTTTATATGACTATTAACCATAATAAGAGAGTAATGACCATTTTACAATTTATATATTAATATGAAACTGCAATAGAGCAATTGTTTGTGATAGAAACCTAGGCATTAGGTCGGGGAATTTTTATCGTGATGACGTGCACGCCACTTTGTTTGGCGTTGACTTATATAGGCTTTATTGCTCTATTGTCGTCCTTTTTTGGTAGTTTGCTGCACATTGATAGTAGGTAATACTATGTATAAACTAAACATGAAAATTTCGTCCATCGGATCAAAGACAGCCAACCATGGATAGCTGTTTGTGCTATTTAGAGCCTCATCAGCACGGTCTAGGCTTGGTCTCTCAGTCAACGAAAGAAAGCATAGTAACTATATACTATCAAACGTGTTATCTATCGAAATAACTGGTCGTAGTGGTCGGTTCTAGTGGTAGATGGTGCTTAGCGATGTCTTATTTCCACTGCTATGTATATTTTTGTAAGCCAGATGGTGGAGTTAACAGACAGCTTTGGAATAGCAAACAGCGCATACGTAAACGCTACCGTTGACGATTAAGTCATAAGAAATAAATGGATCATATGTTATGGTTAACGTTTTTGTTTGCGGTATTTATGATTACCTATTACCAAATCACGAGATATTATACAAAAGATATTTAAAAATGCTTTGTAATTATGCGTTTGGACATAATAATGGTTTTGGAAGTACAAAATGAAATCGATCGCTTCCAAAAATTTTCAATTTTGTTTTCTAAAGTTGGTTATTTTGTTTATATTATATTTTTATTTAAAGAAATTTTAAGCTGATAGTGCCATTAAAGCTAATTAGCTATTCAGGTTGTACGAATAACTTGTGTTTTCTTAAAATTAAGTAAATCATCTGCGAAAAGTGTTATTAATAACTTTAGCTGACTCTCTCTCGTTTTCACTCTATTTCTCTCTCTCTCTCACACTCCCTCTGTTTTCTAAGCATTCAATCGCAAATGTCGTGTTTGTCTTCACATATTACGAGGGGATGTGATAAGATTGGGTATTATCTACCTAGATAGAACTGATTTTTCAATAGCTATGATAGGTTGTTTGTACCCGTTGTTCAAGATTTTATCCTACTTTTTTCTGATGCATTGGTAAAAATATCTCAGAGAAACAGGTTGTTCAACTCAAAAGCAGGCTAGATTATAGGAACATGAAAGAGCGTTCATTATATCACAGCTTTGGCGCGAAATGCAAAGTTTGAACGTATGACAAAAAAAAATTAGAAATAGAAAAAAAATATAATGATATTGCGTCAAAATCAACTGAAATATTATTTTATCTAGCCCTATAACTATCAGTATGTGAATTCTATCCACTCCAACCTCAATGCATAAACAAATTATCTTCAAGTAAGTAATTGAGACATTTCCAAATCCAAGCTTCATCCCTCTGGCTGCCCAAGTATAAAAAGTATAAATTCATACCACTACACCACTGATAATATGTCTGACGTTGAAGTGGAACCAGACCTTTCGAAATGAAGCAGAAACTTTCCTCTGTACACTGTTTTTTTCGTTATCTGTACTCTATTGGAGGTCACTATAGTATGAGCATTAACGATACGACATATTATATAAAATTTACTAGATATGTGATCTGTGAAACATAACTGGTATACAGGGTGTTTCAGTTTATTGTTGCATAGCTTTAAGATTCGATAGACCTTTTAATATTAATGCATAAAGTCTATACAAACATGGGTCGAAAAATGCTTGGCTTCCGAAATACAGGGTGTTTAAATTTACTTTCTAAAATAGTTTTTTTTTAAATATTTCGAACAATATTTGATGTATAACAGTGAAAATTGATATACAAGGGTTTTTTGGTACGACAAAACGAACCATGGGCATAGTTTTACTGTAGCCGCTAGAGGGCGCTCTCTACTGTAGCTGTAGTGTATTAAAATGACCGAAAATTTTTTCTTCGCACTTTTCAACATAAAAAAGCTTTCCTGTGAGTTTTCGTTATAGTTAGCCGTTTTTGAGATATTTCGATTTTTAAGGTTCGATGCATTTTCAATTATTTATGGGAAAATAATATTTTTTTTACATTTTCGATTTGGGCATTTCAAGTAATTAAGATGATCGTTTAGATTGTGTTTTTAAACACAGCAATAATTCCTAACTCCAAATAAACACAAAAAACAGAATATTAATTTGTTTAATTTTCCAATATTATTTTTAACAAATTAAATTAATTATTTACAACTAAAATGCTATTGGATAGTTAGGACAAACATACAAAATCTAAAGTAGTTGCTCGAAATGTAAACCCAGTTGTTCAATACACAATTCACGTCTACGAATGATCGAACGTGGTATAGCATTATTCAAATAAGGCCTTATTTCATCACATGCATTCCTGATTCTGTCTATTAGCATATCTCTTGTGGTTACGGGAGTCTGGTACACTTTTTCTTTTAGAAATCCCCACACAAAGAAATCTAATGGATATAGGTCAGGGGATCGTGGAGGCCAGGCGACTGGTCCTCCACGGCCGATCCATCTTTCTGGATAATTTTCGTCCAGCCAGTTTCTAACTATTCTCGAATAATGAGCTGGAACCAGGCCAATCTTCTTAAATCTAACATAACATCATCCCACATAGTTGCATGTTCAGCCTTTAAA